TTTACCATCAATCTTTGGAGCTGAGAGATTGAGAGCAGGGGCAGAAACATCAGCATCTAAATCGACATCAGGACCATTTATCTTTGTCTTTGGCTTTTTAAAGGTGGGCCATTTGAACTTTCCAGATGGAGACTCAATGTCTACATGTGGTTTTCCTACATTAACATCAGCTTTAGGTAAATTTACATCAAGATCTGGTGAGTTAATCTCACCATTAAGCTTTGGAGCTGATAGATCAACATCTGGTGCATTCAAATTTGCATCCAGGTCGGCTTTTGGTCCATGAAGCTTGGGTTTTTTCCATTTCAGATGTGGCCAGTTAATTTTTCCTGAGGGGGCATCAACATCATGTTGAGTTTGAATATTTAAATCAGGAGGTGTCAAGTCAGCTTTGGGGAGATTCACTTCAGTATTTGGAACATTTAAGTCCCCATCAATCTTTGGTCCTGTGAGATTTAAGTCTGGGGTGTTTAGATCTCCATCTATGCCCAAGTCTGCTTTCGGGCCATGAAGCTTGGGCTTTTTCCATTTCAGGTGAGGCCAGTTGATTTTACCAGATGGAGCATCAACATCTAAGGGTTGCATTTCAAGGTCTGGGCCATTGATATCTGCCTTTGGCAAGTTTACGTCAACTTTTGGGGCATCAAGCTCCCCCTTTACCTTTGGAACAGAAAGCCCAACCTCAGGCGTGTCAATGTTTGCATCTATATCCAGACTATCTTTGGAGCCATGAAGTTTGGGTTTCTTCCATTTTAAGTGGGGCCAGTTGATTTTACCAGAAGGAGCATCAATGTCAATGTCATGGGCTTTAACATCTAGTTCAGGACCCTTGATGTCAGCTTTAGGCAAGTTTAGATCAACATCTGGCCCACTTAAATCCCCATCAAGCCGTGGTGTGGAAACATTGACATTAGGTACTGATAGGTCAGCATCTGGCCCTTCAACTTTAGTACCTTTCCATTTAGCATGTGGCCACTTGAATTTGCCTGAGGGTGCATTAATGTCTGCATTTGGGGCTTCTAACTTTGCACTAGGGCCATTAAAATTTGCTTTTGGAACATTCAGATCCAAATCTGGATTTTGAAGAGCAAAGTTTGGAGCCGACAGATTAAGGTTTGGTGCGTTTACATTCCCACTAACAGATGGAAGATCAATGTCACCAGACATGTCCAGTTTGCCATTTGGTGGTTCAATTTTTGGTAGGTCGAAGCTTGGCATTGTGAACTTAGGGGGCTGATATTTGCCTGTCTGGATTTCTGGTTTATCAATTTTCAAGGAGGCATTTGGCATCTTGACTTGTGGAGCTGAGGCACTGACATTAGGAGCATTAAGAGAACCACCTAGATCTGCCTTTACATCGGTTCCCGGTAGTCCTATGGATGGCATTGTGACTGCAGCACCAGCATCACCTGATGGCTTATTCAGGCCAAGTTTGGGCAGGTCTCCATTGAGGGTGGGGCCATTTATTTTACCACCCAGACCATTTAAGTCTCCATTGAGGCCATTTAAGGAAAAAGATGGTGGGCCAGCAGATGCATCAAGTGAAAGATCCTTCTTTAGGAGCCCCTGTAATATGGAAAAAACAAAATAAAGTTAGATTAACTCTCAACCTGCAGGACCTGCCCGACTGTGAGAGTCAGTTGTGCTTCACCAATCACACAATGGCTCCACACACACATAATACACCTTTCTTTTCAGGGCCACTTCATTGACTTCCATTTATTTCCAACCAATTTCTACACCCTTACACTAACCATAACAGATTCATACCCAACCCTAACTCACACCTCAGTCCCAAATGTAACCACTGACCCCAAAACAGCAATTCCCCTCGTTGGGTCCAATGCCTGGACCCTACAATGCACCATTTTTCTAGAAAATTGGCTCCATAATGTATCAAATACTAGAACACACACACACAGCCGTTTGAATTACCAAAAGGATTGCTTTGATTTAATCTAGTTTATTTCTATACTGCCAATTCACAACACGTCAACTCAAGGCACTCTATCAACTGATCTGGTTGAACTGGATCTATAGTTTTCCATTTAAGGAAAACCAGCTGATTGTATTGACTCTTCAGCAATCCCTCACACCCTCACCTGGATGTCAGTTTTATTTTGTTGATGCCATAAATGCAATTTTTAAATCCTGACATATGATATTCACACTCTTAACCATTATTTACCTCTGTAGTGCCTTTGAGACCCAGTCCAAATGGGTCCAGGGAAGCCCCGGCACTCAGATCCTTTTTTGTCAGAACCTTCATGTTGTCTCCATAAGGCTTTAGGATCTCCAAGATATTATGCACATCCTTTTTGTCAAGGTTGCCAAGATTTATCGTTGCTGCCACAATGTCATCCTCTGGGGGAATAAAGAAGAAAGCCAAGCTAATTAGAGTCACTATTCTAATATAAGATTAAAGAAAAAAACTTTTCATATGCTTGCATCTTACCAACTTTAAGTCCACTTTTTGCACCAACAGTGTTCGCAGCATTCCCACTAATGGAGAGTCCTTTCCCAGAGTCATCCAGAGCCAGGTTTCCTGAAACACTCGCACTTTCCCCACTCTTTTTTGGACAGTAAGAAACAATGTAAGTTGCATTCATTACAATTCACATCTTCACCTAATGTCTTTCACTTACCATTTTTTCTTTTATGTAGTTATGCCCACATTTCAGGGAATCTACTTCAAAATACAGAAGACCAAGGAGCTTTCACCCTGAAACAAAAACACACCCTTATCATTTCTGACATGATTCTGCATTACAGAAAAGTTTTTTAAATCTGGTCAACGGTATAACCCATGCATGCTGTTCAGGTTATACCGAGACAACGATGCCATCTTTATATTTAATGTGCTCTAAAATCTGACCAAGACCAAACATGATTGAAATTCATCAAATTATTTAATTTAACCGGAACATTTCCCCTTTTATCAGCAGTGACCAATGAAAGCTGATTAGAGAGTTTGAAAGAAGGCAACACCTTAAACTACCTTAAAAGTAAAAAAAAAAAAAAAAAAAGGTGTTGGCTTGGTGGTTAGAGCAGTGCGCTTGTGCTCCGAGAAGATTGCAAGTACCCGGTTTGATCCCCACAGCCTCCACTCTGGGGTCCTGAGCAAGACCCGTAACCCCACACTGCTCCCTGGGCGCCACACAACGGCAGCCCACTGCTCCCCAAGAGATGGTTCAAATGCAGAGAGTGAATTTTCCCCATTGTGGGACAATAAAGGGATTTACATATACAAAAGTGGATAGAGATTCTCAACCAACAGACACCAAATAAACTCCAAAGTGCTGCAAATGCTTAATATATCTTCTCCATTAAGACAATGCTTTTTTAAAACCTTTTCAGAGGGTGTGAAAATTTAGGGGTTTGCCTGACAGAAGCAACACCCTTCATCAGATGGCCTCACGCTTCAGGAATCCCAAACCTCTGCCAGGTTTGGTGAAGGGAATGTATCCATCCAAACCTGTCGGTCTGCATGCATTCTGGCTGACACACACACGCAGTCCTCCTGCCGACCACACCTCATTGGTTTTCACCCGCCAACAGCGCAGCGTATTAGCAACTTTCCCCATTTAAAAACAAACCAGGAGGACTTCCTGAATAAAAGCCCAAAGCTGCTGTGATTCAGTAGAAAATACATGAAAGTTCTGATAGAAGATCAAACTAATATCCAAGAATCCATAAAGAACTCTGCTTATAGATTTCCCTTTTCCTACTGGCTGCCATGGGGGCCTCTATTTCTATACTTCTTCACACACCAGAAGTTCTACGAAATTATGAAGAGGAAAACACCACAAGCTTTAAAAAACACTGATTGAGGGGAAGGATTTTTTTTAGGAGCTGGAATAAATAACTAGTCACTCGTTACCCTAACAGCAAAACAAATCACTAAAGACGATACAGTGGATGGTTTCAGCCTCCATAATAGAGCAGAGAAGTCTGACTGCAGCATAAATTAACACATTAGATAAATGTTTGGACCAAATCCACATTTTAAAGTTCAAGGGAAGACATCGTTATGATTATTCCTCATTTCAACCCTCCTTCCAAATCAGCAGAAAACAAAAATGCAATCAATCTGTTGAAAGAAAAGCAGAGCAACAGGCACTTTCTAAAGATACTTCTAGCTAAAATCCCATCTGTGAAAATATTTCACAAACTGGGGTTTGATTTATTTATTTTTTTATCATAATCAAACCCTAATTTGTAAAATATTGTCATGATTTACTGACTAAGTGTTAAAAGGCATCCATGCCACAGGATGGAGGGACTCACCGAGTACCGCTGCTAGAGATGTCACCTCTTCAGTGTATCACTGCTGCTTTGTTAGGGATGAGAGGAATCTGCCTGTTAAATGCTTCAATCATCCGGAAGAACGGGTTTGACCGCATCAGGACCGCCCCTGTCCTTCTGCCCTTTTTTCATTTGCAAAAAAAACACACCTATATTTTAGGCCAGCGACTTAAGCAGCCGAAACCCAACTAGAGAGTCCAGGTAAAGAGGAGAAAAGACACGAACCACTCCTTTGAAAACAGCACAAACAACGTTTACACATCCAGGACGACTCCCTTCTAAAAGCTCGCCACATTGTTTTTTTATGTCATTCATTTGTAATTATCAGGCTGCGGCCCAATGACATTTCTAAGCCTGTTTGGAGAGATATTATGTTTTGAGTGAACATCTAATCCTGCTGGCCACATATAGCACTTTGCTTCCAGAGCTTCTGCTCTCTTCCACTCAGTGAAACCATTCAGCAATGAAGGAGACCTGGTTGGAAGGTTTCATGCATGAGGCCTGTTATTTTGACACCACAGGAAACGTCATGTAAACAACCGTCTGAATCCAACGTGTTACATATGTCATGCATAGAAAACAGGTTTATGACTTCTGTTGCAAAATACAGATGCAGCTTATTTAACCAGTAATGCAAACACTCATTACACTGAAAGTGCAAAATAAAAACAATCTAGAAATAATTTACCCTTATTTGAGCAGGTAAATGAGAGTTTGCAAATGGAATGGGTAAGATAAGATATTTAGAGAATATGCACTTCAGACAATGCAATTGTGTTTTCTTATTTTAAGAGTAAATTGTCTTGTTCCATTGGCAAAATGTCTCTTACCACCTCAATCCAAGAAAAAATTCACTTATTTTAAGAATTAATGACTTATCTAGATTTCAATTTTTCCAGTGAACCTGGTTCAAACTCGTTTAAAAACTGGAGTGGAAGTAATCCAATCAGGGCAAAGTTATCTAATAAATACGAATAAAGTGCCTTAATGTAACCAAGCCATTTATCCACGTCTATCCAGTCATCCTTCATGTTATTCCAAACAGAGGCCTTCTTTAGGCAACAATAGACTCCCTCTGTTGGGAGGATCCCCATCTCCACCTCTTTAATCAGAACAACTGATTTTTAACTGCAGGTTTTTGGATGGTAGGTCCAAAAGTAAGTGCATTTGTTCTTGGATTGAGGACATAAAGGACCCACTTTACCAATGGAACAAGACAATTTACATTTAAAATAAGAAAATACAATCGCATTGTCCTATTTCACGCGCATTTTATCTAATTATCCTATTTTAAGAATAAAAATACTCATTCCATTGGCAAACTAATTTACCTACTCAAATTAAAGGTAAATACAATTAATTAAAAATATTTTTATTCATTTCTAGATCGTTTTTCCAGCGTACACACTCAGTTCTGCAGACAGCGGCCTTGTTAGATGTCGGCGCTTCAATCATAATCTGTGGAAATTTATGCTGAAAGGCTAACTAATCCTTAACATGCTAACAATAAATCAGATCAGATCTAGCAAAGCTGAGAAAATAAACCTTAGTTCTGTCTGATCAGAAGCAGTACTGTCATCCTGTGACCGACGGCGGCGTCCAACATTCCTTCAGCCAAATTAAATATCAAAACCTGTGTGAGTCATTACCCAACCCATCCAGCAGAGAAGGACAATGTGATGACTGTTGGCAGAGAAACTCAGCAGGGTGTTGCCTGCATGAGGCCATAGCTAAAGGATGAGCAACTGTAACAAGACTTTATAATTAATCAGAGCTGTTAATGTGCTGCCATGGAGAACCATCAAAGTAAAACCTGACAGATTCAGCAGTTTTAAGCTTCACTAAACAGCAGCTTCCTGTACCGCCAAGGTCATTCATGTAAAACCTGTCAGTCTGATCAGGTTTACTATTTGGTTCCCTTTTTAACTTCATTTCAGGCCTCAGTTTTCAATCTAAACCTTTTTTTAAAAAAGGCCATAGCTGCAACATTTGATCAACAAGATCCTTTTTCAAAAAGCTAACATCCACAGAATGTCTGCAGTGGATGCGAATAAAGGACTTATTTTACTAAAAAAGGAAATAAAAAAATGTTGACAGGTCCAAATAATTTGCTGGATAGAAACGTTGACAAAACAGGAGTAGCCTATTAGGCTGACGGAGCTCAGGCGTTGGCACATCCTCCTCCCAGTTAAATTTCTCACATTCAAGAGAAAAAAGAAAACAAGTTGGAAGCAAAACACTGTTCACCTTTTTTTGCTTCCATTGTTTGTCAGAGGCTGCAGAGGGTCGGTGCAGGTGTTCTGTCAGGAAGCATACCTGGTCAGACCAGCATATCCATACACGTTTATCCCTTTGGTTTTGTGTGAAAAAATACACTTTAAACTACCTCAACAGGCTTGTATCCCTTTAGTCATGTACAAAAAAACTATTTACTTTTTGCCGTTTTTTTCTAAGCCTATGGCGATCTTTTGTTTGTTTTTTTTGTACATGACAAAATCATCCCACTTCTTAAATGATCACCCCCCCCCCATAACATCCCTGCAACATTTTATTACTGAATGTGTAAAATTTCTACTATATATTAACAGTAATGGCAATAATATTGCCCTTTCAGCATTTGGCAGGCTGTTTGCTAACAAGCCTAAGAAAAATAAATAAATCAAAGAAGTTTCCTACCATGACTATGAAGCTGATCCCAGTGGGAAATTAGTCACCAACTCTGTATGGGCAGTGATAGCCATGCCTGTCTAGGGACTGACTGCTGTTCTACGAAAAGGTGCCTCAAGATACACGAGATACACACCCATCAAGGTAGTTTAAAGTCTATTTTTGATACAAAACTAAAGGTATAAACTGCAAAGAATTGAAATAAGTCATTTTCTATCAAAATGAGGAGGGACGTGAGACACTTTGACAATGGAACAAGACAATTTACATCTAAAATAAGAAAAATTTAAAGTGCATATTATCCAATTATCTTATTTCAAGAGTAAAAATACTCATTCCATTGGCAAATCTTATATATATCTACTCAAATTAAGGGAAAATACACTTATTTTAAGAAATATTTGCTTATTTCTGGATAATTTTTGCAGTGTAAATGCAAATCTGACATCTTGCGCATACGTATTGACTATGTGTATGCTGGTCTGATGAAGGGGTATACTCATCTGACAGAACACCAGGCTCAGACACACAGCTGTGTTCTCTGAATATGTAATGTGTTCCCTTCTGTTTGCAAACAGAAGGGAACAAGGAAATGCCCTGCAAAAAACTGATATATAACCAAGGCATTTTTTCTTGCACTTTTTCTTGAATTGAGGAGGTAAGTGAGACACTTTGCCAATGGAACAAGACAAGTTACATTTAAAATAGGAAAAAGCAACTGCATTGTCTGATTACAAGCACATATTATCTAATCATCTTATTTTAAGAGTAAAAATATTCATTCCATTGGCAACTCATCTTATTTACATACTAAA